GCTAGTGAGACGCATTTACTTGAATTTATTTATTTGAATGGTAGATATGTTAAGAACAAAATGCACCAGGTTTTATAAACACTAAAATTTAATTAAAGGTCTTAAAATAATTTATATGACAAAGTATATTCATCTCTGTAATTTCTATTCAATTTAATGTTTCGTATACGGACGATTGATAATATTATTTCCAAATTTATAAAAAATTCCGGCCAGAGAAACTTAAAAATGTAATAAAATTATAATAAATTACCTACCTCAAGAGAACGGTTGCGGTCTCAGGTACCCGAAATACCTGCAAGAAAGGGATGCAATGGCATAGACATACGTAACCCCCCAAAATATTGTATTAACACACAAACACAATGTAACCAGAAAATCATAGTTCTTGATTTCAATGGGACCACAACGTGAAATACATGAAATAAGGAACTAGGTTTTCCGGTAACCAATACAACTTACTTTTTATACTTTGTATGCAAATTCAAAAATCAAATATATGCATATTAACGTAGGCACAACTTTAATTGGATAAATAAGAATATTGATTGAACAACACGTATATGTAGTATTGAAATTATCAAATCTAAAAAAAGACTGCCTCGTTATTTACAAGTATTAAGTGTGAACAATTCGATTTCAAAAATATGATCGATTTATTTATATCAAAAACGTTGTTTCCCGAGTAGAAACATTTCATCTGTGTTAAGCCCAAAAATTGATAATTTCATCTGTTTTACTTCGGAATAAGTGATTGTTTTCCGCATTTCTATTATACCCTTTTTAACCGCCAAGCTAGAGTTAGTCAGATGTTTTTAGATTCAGTTATAACAAATAAATTCATACAATTTGAATTACATAATCTGTAATGGTAGAATATTGGACTACCATTCTAATAAGAGACGTGAATTTGAATCCTACACTGAAAAAATTCTTTGTACGACTTTTCTTCTATATTCGGAGACAACTGCAGTTTTAAAGAATACGCCATACAGGGAAACAAATAATTAAATGACGTAGTGATAAAAAAAATTTGCTCCCCCACCGTAACCATCTCCATTTCGTTTTGCCTTTTCTGTCACATTTTCGATCGATCCCAAATGGGCGGGTGGTGCTTAGGGTGAGAAAAATGAGACGGGCGATAGCTATATTTTTTTATCAATATTTGAATAATCTCCTTTGGTGAAAACATTGATAGAATCGTTTATCTGACATTTCGTCAACTACTGTGGCGACATCATGACTAGGGTTATAATTATAGTCTATACTATAAGACAACAATAAAGTATGCGAAAATATATTATTTCGCATGCTTTAAATTCTTTAGGATTCATTTTACATATAATGAGATCGGTTATATTATTGATTGTCGCCGAATAGGTTAGATAATTAACGAATATAGGGCATATTTTCTCTTTCGCTCTTTTGTCCTGCATCGACACATTATCTTTAGATTGAATTTGTAACCATGATGAAGTCACTTCCCTTATACAGTAATTGAATTGTTGAATTAACTGATTTGTAACTTAACGACTCTAAAAAAAATTAATGATGCTCAAAAATACTCACGGTGATTTGAACGAAATTTATTTCCATTTTTGTATTCCAATGTTATATTTATTTAATAAAGCTGTAAAATGTCTAACAATTTTAAATTCTTATAGGATTATGGATCATTTTAAAAGTGGAGTAGCACAAAGAAGACAAAGATCTCTTCTTTGGCTCTGAATGAAATTAACTGTTGTCTTCAGCTGAACTGACTAGCAAAATTCACAAAAACTTTTTACTATTTATTGACAAAGCCTTAGTAGTACCTCAATAGTTTCATTTTAATGACTGATTATGTACACTTAAAAAGGGGTCTTCCATAAACCACGTAGTCTGCCTGACAGGGGAGGGATCTAACAAAAACCTACGTTGAACCATGTAGGGGGAGGGAGGGTCCAAGTCGTAGCATTACGTAAATACACTAGTTTGAAAGTATTTTGGATATGCTTGAAGTAGTCGTAGAATGGATCAAAGATGTTGAACTAAATGCAATTGATTTCAGTCAATTTATGATGACACTGATAATAAAAAATTTCATGCGATTCAAGATTTAAATGAGTGGCTATCTCACCATTTGTACTATGTGATGACATAAACGAGTGGCTATCTCACCATAGAGTAGAGTTAAAGTAAAAAAAAAATGTTTTATTTTGGACTAGGAAACCAGAAAGAATTTAAAGAAAAGCTACGTAGCTTTAGGGGGGAAAGGGGGTTGGACGAAATGTTACGGTGGCTCACGTGGGTGAGGGGGTATAAAAGTATCGAAATTCGAGCAATGTGGTCTGTGGAAGGTCCCATGGTCGAAAATTTAATCTGCGAAATCTGGTGACCTTTATGGAGAATCTTTTATTAAAAAAATTACACAATCGGATATATAATTCTAAAAGTTTTGCAGAATTATCTACTGCACAAAAACTGCAGCAACTATTCGATAAAATTTACTTCAGCTTAAATATGGACCGTAAAGATGCTGTGCAGATGTTTAACAGTGATAATTATTTGTTAAAAGTTGCTAAATGTAATCAAAAAATATGTTTTTAAGCAAAATAATAAAGTAAAATAAATCGTACTTTATTTTGACACCATGTACTTTTTTGCTACCTTTAATAACTAATGTATTTTATGTACACAAAAAAGGGTGACAACCCTGATCATGATATCTTCAGAGAACGTATTAGGGAGGGCGTAAAGCCAGTCTTACAATCAGTACAATATACTAATAGAAACCATAAAACTCCAGTTTTTTTAGAACAAAGTCAGACTTTGTTGATGACACGTAAAACAGATGAAATTTTTCGATGTGTTTTAAAAATTTTAGGTGAGTTTTAAAAGGAATATGTGGTGTAACTGGTAATATTTTAATACGTGTTTTTATGTAACAATTTTAAATTATTTTGTATCACATTATTACTCTACCTGCTTTTACAGCGATTAACAAAATCACTAACAATGATGCTTAACGCTCACGATAATATGTACAAAAAATAGCATTTGATTATAAAGTAAATATTTAAAAATGTTGAAGCTGTATAAATTAATTTAAAAAAAAACTCAATAGACGTATTTTCTCTTTAGAAGTAACAAAATTACTAACGTACACTTTATACATGCTTATATCAACAGTAAGCATTAATATAAAAAAAGAAAAGGCTTCAACTAAGTATTTAAAAAAACATGAAGAAGGCCGAAATTGTATTAATTTTTGTTTTAGAATGAAAGCATTTACACTAATAGGGTGAAATATCACTTACTAAAGCAAGGTTGGCATGTTTAAAACATATTTTGTTTTAAACACTGTTTAACTTTCTTTCTGTAGGTACTCTTGAAAATGACCGAGTAGGTCGAAACAATTGTCGAGTTGTTTTTTAATTATAGATATCATTCTTGTGTTTTATTTTAATATTTAATATATTTTCCATTCCCCTTAGTTACTGTTGAATTTTAAATTATATTATTTTGCAACACTTATCGTTAATAGTATTTTTTTTAAAAGAAGCTAAAGCTACTAGAACCAAAACACACGAATAGTTTTAATAAAGTTTGATAACATGAATTTAATAGTTTATTAAGGAAAGTAGTTATTTATAGTGTCGGTGTCTCATTTCAAAATGGAGGTGTTTGTAATTACATAACGACAATTAAATGTTTTCCTTTGTAACAATATATCCCAATATCTAGTATACATTATAGTATATTTCTTTACATAGTAAGAAATATGTATAATAGCTACATCGAATTATATTACATTATAACATACAAAGTATAAGTAAGAATAGTTTTTATTGTAATGATTAATTCTCAGAAATTCTAAAGAAAGTGCTGTAAGGGAATAATGCACTTGTTTTTAAAAAATAGGTAAGAACAAGAGAAAATCAAAATAGTGAATATCCTGAAAACTAACCATTATATGCTAAATCCGTGAAAAATACCCATTAATGGTATTTCATCGAAAGATACCTATCACAAAAGTAAAAAAATAATGTTACTCAAAGCAAATGTTGATTTATAGTGTGTATATACCTAACTGTTGGATATTCAGACATAAATTAATAATATTCATAATATCTACCTACATATTATTTTTGGTAATTATGTTCCATACAAATGTAGAATAGGAGATATTATTATATATTATAACTTTTTTTACAACAATAAAATTCTGTATCCAATTTAAAGAATTCAGTCGTTATTTGGCTCTGAATGAAATTAACTGTTGTCTTCAGCTGAACTGACTAGCAAAATTCACANAAAATAAGCAGTTTTAATAAAAAATTACTTACTAATTAACACATAATAAGAAACCATTATCTATTCGCGTAAAAGTTAGCAATTAAATAAAATAAAATTCCTACAAAAATTAATACGAAACTTTAATTTTTATGTTTAAAAATCCAATACTGAAAATGTGTATCAAACAATATACCTAGGTAGTAACTTATGTGTTCATGAAAGGTAAATAAAATGTTAAGTACCACTTATGTGGTATGAAGTAACAAAATAAAATTTCAACACAATATAATATAGGTACATAGACAGAGAATATACTTAAATTTAAAGAAACCAGTAAAACTTTCTAGAACGTTGTAGTAAGATTTAAAATTGAAAAAAAAGAACAAAAAAAATTATAAATAGATTATAAATTCTCACTTTTAAAAAAAAAATTCGATAAGGTATAGGTAGGTAGGTATGTAGGTATTTTATGAAAAACGTATTTCACAGATTTAGCAAATTTTTATGGAACATTTTAACTTGTTTTCACAATACCTTCAGATAGTTAAATGATGCTTACCTTCCAACCCATATTTTCGAAAAATGTGCACAACCTTGCTTGGCCGGTAGTTTTGCCACCACATGGGCCTATAAAAAAATACTCAATTAAAAAAAAGTCGAAAGAATCAAATAGGCCAAAACAATATTTATAAGAAATAAATAAATGAAGTCAAAACTGTGGATTTAAATAAACGTCTGTTAGTTTTAATTTTTTGAAATGCTACTATTCCTTTTCCAATACCTAATATTAAACTTATTGTGCTTCATTATATTCAGTTTTATTTTCTTGATTATGAAACCTTCCATAAAGCAGTCAAAGTCGTAGTAAAGTGACATTTCGGATATTTTTCTGCTATAAATGCGTGTTTAATTTTCAGTATATAAAAGGACAATTGTATTCAACTGCTATTAGATTGTACGTAGGTACTATTTTTCGTAAGTATTGCGTATGATTGACGGAAATAGAAATGGCTAAATGCTATTTGTCTGACATAATTAAATAAATTAAATGGACGAACACAACATTGTTAGCACAAGATTGTACCAAGTTGCTTTAAAACTTATATTAACGGTAAGTATTAGGTACCTAATTTTTCTTTTTTGCAAGAAATGTATTAAATCCAAATATTCATAATAGCTATATGAAATATATACTTATCGTAAGTTGTAAATCACTTCAATAATGAAGTGTTATTGGAAAGAAATCAAAATTTTGAAATATTGATAGGTACCTATGTAGATATTACTTTTTTTTTATAGTAACGTTTTAGTATAAGCAATATCACAAAGAACTGCAAGCATAATAAAAGCACGTGGTCTTAAAAATAGCGTAAGTATTTATAAAAACTGCTAATAAATACATCAGTAGGAAAATTGACTTACCTCCAGTAAGGACTAGCCTGTAGGCCTTTTTTTCACCATTAGTTGTTCCATTCATTTTTCAAGTAGCAAGATAACACGAAAAAACGGCGAAATAAATATACCGAGTTTAGAAAACTGATGTTAACAAATAAAAAAGGATGATGATGAAATGATCTTAATTGAAATACTTAATCATTGTAACAAAATTACTGAGTAAGAATTTTGCTCAATCATTTTTAATTATTATTGTTAAAAAGTTTGGTGCAAGGCGCACCTCGTGCGACACGAGACACGTACACAATCTGCGAATAACTATTGAACGCGAGATCGCGACAACGTCCTTATAGGAACAATTATTCGTAAAATAGACTTTTTTACTGCGCATGTGTATATAAATGACAGACCTATTCTAGTTGCGTTCAGGAAACTGAATCATGTGGGTTACTTGCAATTTAATATTATACCTACCGAAAGTCATAATTTATCTAAAAGCTGAAAAGTATTCTCTATTTTCCTTTATTTGAATTTTACATCAGTAGATCAATAGTTACCTTAATTTTACATTAATCACATTATATGTGACTAATTTAGAAATTACATTGAAAACGTTTATACGGTGTGTCTACTTAAGAAGAAAACATTGACATAATTTTAAATGTGGGAGATAATGCACATTAAAAATTTCCGAACACAAAGTGCATTACTGCTTTTTTTATTTTAAAATTAATGTTTGACGTTCAGTGAAAGACTGACATACATGTCATTTAAACGGGCAACTTTAATTAAAATTGTATTATTCTTAATAAGCATGCAAAAGTATTCACTTATTTGGAGCAAAAGTATGAAGAAATACGCAATACAAAAATCTGATAGATGTGGTTGCATATCTGTAACTACTATTTAATTCTCGAAAACTTTTCTTTCTCTTTACTTGCGACAAAAACATCTTTTGCAAAGTAGCTTTTTATTTTATTAAATGCATAACCTGGATATCATTTTCATAAAACTGCACATAGTCAAGGCGAGATGTGTATTTGACAAACACTTTTCGTATTAACAGCACGTCTTCCATACCCCATCCCGTCACAATTATAATTATTGTAACAAGTTTCATCGCTAAATACTCTTCTTTCCAGTTTTGAAAAACTCAGTTCAAATATCGTCGTGCACTTCCAAGCATGGCACAGGTTTCATCTGGAAATCAACAGTTTGTTGGTCGTTTTCGGGAAGATCGCCGTATTATTCATTCAATTGGTTTTAATTTTTGCGGATTTGCGGTTACTGTTTTGAATTTTAGACATTGTACCGTAAGGATTGCTTTATTTTTACTCATCAAAAAGAATTTATTGGGATTTACTATACTTACGGATACCAAGCCACTTAAATTAATCAAAAACTTTGCAACTTAAATAAAGCTTTAACAACTTCTTTTAGCATAAAAACATTTACTGTAGGGTCTGAATGTTTTATTAAGTGCTTTAAAAATACAATTCACTATAAATAAATAATAATTTGGATTTTTACAAATATTCGCAGTAACATAAAAATGATAACTCGACATTGTTAAGCTGGAAACAACATTAAGAATACAAAAGAAATTAATGTGTAAAAACCTCAACCAATTTTGTTTCCCCTAAAAGAAAGAGGAAGTATTCCAAAAGTTTTAAGGAATTTTGGTTGAGAATATATTAGATATTCAAAGTTACGTTTAAATTAAAAAGAAACATCACACAGTTTATAAACATGGTAGGTATGCAATAGAAAACACCAAATGATAATACGGATAGTTAAAAACCAACTTCATAAAAAATACTACAAGTAGCACCGAACGCGGCCAAATTTAATAATTTAAGTATATTTACAAGTGCAATTTTTACCAATCACATAAAGGNCTCGCGAACGATTAATTTTGAAATTCGAAAGAGGTTGTTAAAGGTGTATGTGTGGAGCGCGGCGTTGTACGGGTGCGAAACATGGACAGTGGGCGCGGCCGAAAAGAAAACGTTAGAAGCGTTCGAAATGTGGTGTTACAAGCGAATGATGACGATACTGTGGATAGAGAAGGTTACAAATGAAGAGATATTAGAAAGAATAGAAGTACAGAGGACTCTATGGAAGTCAATAAAAAACCTTCTCAGGCATGAAGGTCTAGTCAGGAACATATTAGAGGCAGAAGCAGGAGTTAGGAGGGGTAGAGGTAGACCTAGGTTAGATTACTGTTCGCAAATAGTTAAGTATGTGGGTAGTTCTAGTTCTAGGATAGGAAAGAGTGGAAGTGCGTGTCCAACCAGTCTTAGGACTGACGATCTTATGATGATGATGATAAGATTCTGAATTGAATTGGTTCCTACAGAACGGCTATAGGCAGTGCAGTTGTAGTCACGAACATATAATAGTGCTAGATAGTCGGACTTTATAACCGTTGTGGTCTAGGATTTTTTTTTATTATCCTCATCGGGTAACCATTCTTCGGGAAAGTAAGGAGGGTATTAAGTCCTTCGCTGCGGTTGCAATAGGTAGTGATGATCAAGACCAAGACCAAAACTGTCCTAGTCTTGGTATTAGTCTTGACCTTACTTATTTGGTCTTCGCCTTGCTCAAATACTAGGTCTTGGTATTGCTTTTACAGTCTCGGTCTAGGTCTTTGTCAGGTGCGTTAAGTCTTGATCTTGTTTATTTAATCTGATATATACGTTTTTTTTAATACAATAATTCTTCTAAACACAGATCTATCTATGTACTGACACAATAATTGTCTTAAATACAGAAATTTTTTGTCATAGATGCGAGTTTGACATGACTTTTAAAGAAAATAGTATCGACAGTTATGAGTTATGAAAACGCGAGAATTTGCCGTTCCTTCAATTCATAAATTGACGTTTTAGCGAACAAAATAGGACAAGGTACTTAAAAGAAATTAAAAATATCAAAAAAAAAAAAATATTTTCTCTATATGTTTCAATACTTTTTTGTAAATCCCTTTCTTTAAACAGTAAAGTTTTTTTTTTTTTTATATTTAGTGTTAAAGCGTAGTAAAGCAAAATGAAAATTTTAAATAATTCCAATATTAAAAATGTTTTGTTACAAGAAAAAAATATATTAAAGTTGCTTCAAATAGTTTAACTCATATTGAAAGTAACAATTTTTCGTTTAGTCTTGGTTTTAGTCTTGGTTTTGTTCGTTGGGTCTTGGTTTTTGCTCATCACTAGTAATGAGCCCTACTTACTGTTTTTTTAAGATATTTGGATCATTTTTCATTAAAGTGAAGGGTTATTTTCTCGAAGTGTATTCTGTCTTTCAAACGTAACGTTATTTGAAGAAATTCAAACTAATATTTTAACTTGGGCGCAACATGGTAGCACCACGAATTTTTGGTTAAATACTCACACGCGTTCTTGATAAAAATTGCCCAGAAACATGTCAAAATTGAAATAATTAAAAAATATGACTTTCAGTATTAACACAATTTGAAAGCACTATGCGTGTTGGACAAATTTTGAATTGTTAAAAGGTATCTAACATAAAAAAAATCAATGTGCTTCAATCATAAGCGCTGTAATTCACTCGAAACAAGTGTAAAATACTTAAGATTATAACTATTTCAATTTTTAATAAACAAAATCTTGTTAAATGGCTAGTGAGACGCATTTACTTGAATTTATTTATTTGAATGGTAGATATGTTAAGAACAAAATGCACCAGGTTTTATAAACACTAAAATTTAATTAAAGGTCTTAAAATAATTTATATGACAAAGTATATTCATCTCTGTAATTTCTATTCAATTTAATGTTTCGTATACGGACGATTGATAATATTATTTCCAAATTTATAAAAAATTCCGGCCAGAGAAACTTAAAAATGTAATAAAATTATAATAAATTACCTACCTCAAGAGAACGGTTGCGGTCTCAGGTACCCGAAATACCTGCAAGAAAGGGATGCAATGGCATAGACATACGTAACCCCCCAAAATATTGTATTAACACACAAACACAATGTAACCAGAAAATCATAGTTCTTGATTTCAATGGGACCACAACGTGAAATACATGAAATAAGGAACTAGGTTTTCCGGTAACCAATACAACTTACTTTTTATACTTTGTATGCAAATTCAAAAATCAAATATATGCATATTAACGTAGGCACAACTTTAATTGGATAAATAAGAATATTGATTGAACAACACGTATATGTAGTATTGAAATTATCAAATCTAAAAAAAGACTGCCTCGTTATTTACAAGTATTAAGTGTGAACAATTCGATTTCAAAAATATGATCGATTTATTTATATCAAAAACGTTGTTTCCCGAGTAGAAACATTTCATCTGTGTTAAGCCCAAAAATTGATAATTTCATCTGTTTTACTTCGGAATAAGTGATTGTTTTCCGCATTTCTATTATACCCTTTTTAACCGCCAAGCTAGAGTTAGTCAGATGTTTTTAGATTCAGTTATAACAAATAAATTCATACAATTTGAATTACATAATCTGTAATGGTAGAATATTGGACTACCATTCTAATAAGAGACGTGAATTTGAATCCTACACTGAAAAAATTCTTTGTACGACTTTTCTTCTATATTCGGAGACAACTGCAGTTTTAAAGAATACGCCATACAGGGAAACAAATAATTAAATGACGTAGTGATAAAAAAAATTTGCTCCCCCACCGTAACCATCTCCATTTCGTTTTGCCTTTTCTGTCACATTTTCGATCGATCCCAAATGGGCGGGTGGTGCTTAGGGTGAGAAAAATGAGACGGGCGATAGCTATATTTTTTTATCAATATTTGAATAATCTCCTTTGGTGAAAACATTGATAGAATCGTTTATCTGACATTTCGTCAACTACTGTGGCGACATCATGACTAGGGTTATAATTATAGTCTATACTATAAGACAACAATAAAGTATGCGAAAATATATTATTTCGCATGCTTTAAATTCTTTAGGATTCATTTTACATATAATGAGATCGGTTATATTATTGATTGTCGCCGAATAGGTTAGATAATTAACGAATATAGGGCATATTTTCTCTTTCGCTCTTTTGTCCTGCATCGACACATTATCTTTAGATTGAATTTGTAACCATGATGAAGTCACTTCCCTTATACAGTAATTGAATTGTTGAATTAACTGATTTGTAACTTAACGACTCTAAAAAAAATTAATGATGCTCAAAAATACTCACGGTGATTTGAACGAAATTTATTTCCATTTTTGTATTCCAATGTTATATTTATTTAATAAAGCTGTAAAATGTCTAACAATTTTAAATTCTTATAGGATTATGGATCATTTTAAAAGTGGAGT